ACAGTGGGTAGGGCTTGAAAGCTGTAACCATCCCAAAATATTGCCTTAGCCACTCAAATAATATTAGATAGATAGGTCCTTTTTATAACAGTAGGTAGGGGCTTGCGGGCTGTAACCATCCCAAAATATTGCCTTAGCCACTCAAATAATATTAGATAGATAGGTCATTTTATAACAGTAGGTAGGGGCTTGCGGGCTGTAACCATCCCAAAATATTGCCTTACCCACTCAAATAATATTAGGTAGATAGATCCTTTTTATAACAGTAGGTAGGGCTTGCGGGCTGTAACCATCCCAAAATATTGCCTTAGCCACTCCAACCAGCGTGTCCAACATTCTGGTTATCTATACATCTTGACGCCAACGCCCCCACCCCCACCCCAATATTCTGTCTGTGCCACCTTAGCCCCTTCACCCTCACCTGAAAAAGGCTGGCACCGGACCTATGTTGTTAGAATCCGAAGTATAAGTTACATAAAAGACTTGCTTGTGAATTAATGTGTCATATAATAGGCATTCTCAATTCATTTAACAATTTCCTTCAAAGTGGTACTCCGCTTTCCATTGGCTACGTGTAGAATTAGAGGGTTTGGTTCGGACTGTTTTGAATTTTACGCAAAGCTACACGAGGGCTATTTGCGCCAGCCGTCACTAATTTAGTAGTGAAAGACTAGAGGGAAGGCAGCTAGTCTTGGGCTACTCTTTTACCAACGAATAGTGGGATTGACCATCACGTTATAATGCCCCATGGCTAAAAGGGCGAGCATGTTTGGTGGGACGGGGATTCGAACCCACGACCCTCAGATAGCGAGCCAAGCACCCTAACCACCTAGAAATGCCGGGCCGAATCCATAACACTTTTGTTTGAAGTTAAGCACATAGCTACACAATGGGCTATCTGTGCACTGCCCGTCACGGGTATCGAAACCCGATTTCTAGCGTTGTAAGTTGCTACCAGTTTCATGAATGTGTGGTAATCGTATTATGACTGTTGATCTGAGAAAAGAGAGAGAGTATTTGTCACTGGATACAGCATATCTAGGTATTTCAGTAGAACTGACAGACTTGAAAACAAATGATAAATCACGAAGAAAATTGTAAGAAGAGTCTTACAACAACACTGTATAGCAAAGAAGTCAAACGCGAGATAAAACAAGAAATTGTAGCTTCATGATTCAATCTTCAAGCATGCAAGTATTGTGGACCCTATTAATGCTCAAAATTTAGAGCCAAGAAGCTTAATCAACATTTTGAAAGAGCTTAATCCGCTGTGCCACTGGGGGGGGGGGGCGAATGAAGAGCTTTCTGACAACATGAACATTGATTTTTGTTGCTTCTATTCAATAATGACGGTATATCATGTTTCTGTGTTTTTCTACTAGTCGGTTACAATTTCTCACTTTATGAAGTTAATAACAATTTTGTCTTCTTTTCCAATCTCAAAGCCTGTAGCTGAACGCTCTTCATCATTGCGAAAGAAGTGAAACAGATAAACAAAACAGATTAGCAGCGTCAACATTAGAAGCGACATCTAGAAACATTATCGACTGAGATGGAGAAAAAGTCTAGCACGTGTTCTTGAGCTGGATGCTCATACGAAGAAAAGGCTGAAACATGTAGAAGAGTTGCCTCTGGTACTGCGTGCACCAAGTTCCCCTTGTTTTCAGA